GTCTATCCATTTAAATAGCCTGTTTCCTAGGAATCTTACACTTAGAAAGCAGTAATATATCTGCTAAGCAAACTCTTAAACTGTCATCCCAGGCACATAAATCTGGATGCATATCACTTTTAGCCCAGTTTTCTAGGGTTTACAAGAATCTGTCTTCTTTTTCATAAGCCATATAATGTACAGAAAATGTTTAGGATGGCATAAACTCTTCAACAGAAATGCAGTATTTTCCCTTCAAGAATTTTTAAAGACACCCCAGTCCAACCTGTGATTCAGCTACACTCTCCTCACTTGTTTAAGGCTACAGCCTCCTGCCAAGAGCAGAGGATGATTACTACAGAAACCATCTGCTTCAGTGCAGAAAGAATGCAACCATCCTTCTCTCTCCCCCAATGATTCATTTTATGCTCAGTTAATAGATCTTCAGAACAGACTCCAAATTTTAAAACAACCAGCCTCCCCACTGACATCTCTTATCTCTCAGCCGGACCTAACTGACAACAACTTAGAAAAGAGTGTAACTTCCCAACTTACCTGTTCAATGCAGTTCCAAGAGGGAGAAATTATCCCTGTAGGCTCAGACCTACAGCAGGACCCAAGAATTTGAGCAGTAAATTCCTCAAAGGCAAGATTTTCTCTCACCTCTGATATTGACTCTGATTTGGATTCTGATATACAAACTAATTTGTTGAATAATGATGAACTGTCACCCCACATATTTGGAAGGAAGCTATTAGCTCAGAGATTTTGCTCTAGTTTCTACTTCAGTAAAAGAAAAGGCTGACAACAACCTATTCCTTTCTAATCAATCTCCTACACACCCACTGTCACCCTCAGAATTAGACAAAGCTGCTAATCATTAAATCATGAGGAAGGGTTCATCAAATACTCAGAAGCTGCTTATAGATGATCCAGAAGAAAGGGAACCTTCAACCTCAAGAGCTATGTTACAAAGATGGAAGCAGGCTAGGGTATCCCAAACAGAATACACCATGCCAGAAAGGTCACTGAGAGAGCCAGAATCCTTCTCTTGTATCTCCTATATACAGGGTTCTCCTCAGAGCCATATAGAGGACTGACATGAGGTCCATCTGAACAAAGTTGGTTTCCAAATACCTGCCAGGATAATGTGATATGTAAAACCTTGAGGGATTGTCCACTGAGGTTCTATTGCAAACAACATGCATTTACATCAGTTATGTAATTACACAAATAATGTAAAGTTGGCTTAAATGGATATTTGGATTTAATCCAACTAGTTCTGGATCTTTGCAACAGCATAACATCAGCAAGTTTCAACAGCTGAATTGTTTTCTTTCTGGCTCTGCTATGGTTTATTTGAACTGGAGAAAAGCTTATTGTTCTTGGCAGTGCTGCAGGTCTGCTTAGTTCTTGGATAGCCTGTTTTCTGACCGGTAGCATCTGTTGCTTTACCTGCTTCCTGGCTCCTGGACCAAAGGCAACCTTCCCTCTCTTATATTTTCAGTCTCCTGTTTCAAATATCTCTTCCTCTCCCCATTTCGTGCCTTCTTACTTTAGGGCTATTGGAAAAATGTCTGGTTGCAAAAATGTTGACAAGCTAGTCTTTTACCATTGTAGTTTATAAGGGCTATTAAATGCAGCATAGGAAAGATGGCTTGATGGCTGTCAGCCATACTGGGTAGACCAGAAGGAAACACACCCAGATAAGCTAATTTCACTTTATTGTAAAGCTACATTAATAGAAGCTTGCAAAACTGAAAGTACAATTCCCCTACCATCACCTTTACAGCCCAATAACTTAGGGGGTCTCTCCTGAGCCTCTTGCTGCGCCTACTATGTAGCCGTGGGTTATGTTCCCTCTTATCTACTAAGAAGTGTTGGCACATTTTTACTTCCCATTCAGTGCATTTATCTGGATATACCCAAGCATTCTGAGAAGTTTTTAAGAGTGGGATCTGTAAAGTCATTGTAATGGTATGTGGGAATGTTGGGAGACTGGGCAAAGAGATGTCGCCTAGGGGATGGTCAAATAAGAGGAAGCATAGTCCATAGCTGCATAGTGAGAGGAGTAAGAGGCTCAGGAATGGATTGGATAAGAGAGACAGAAACAACCAGGGGAGAAGGTCCCATAAGTAACCCAGCCCCAAGCTATGAAAGGCTTTAAGGTGACTACCAGAACCTTGAATTGCACCTGGAAGCATGCTGGTAGCCATCAGAGTTTGCGGAGCAGTAGTGTCACATGTACCAAATAACAGGTACCATTAACGGCCCATGCCACCACATTCTGTATCAGCTGAAGTTTCTGAATGTTCTTCAAGGGCAGCCCCATGTAGAGTACGTTGCACTAGTCCAGTCAGGAGATTACTGGGGCCTCCTGGTCAAGGAACAGGTGCAACTGACACACAACCAGAAGCTGCACAAAGGTCCTCCTAGCCATGGCTGCCACCTGCTCCTCAAGCAGGAGCTGTGGGTCCAGGAATATCCAGGTTGTGCACCCATTTTGTCTCAGGCAGTGCAACCCCATTGGATAGCACTAGGAAACACTGTCCTTAATCAGCAGCCTTACATTCTCATTAAAGATATCTGCCAAGAGATAGTTGCTATGATCTATACAAGAGAAGAACTACAGAATCTGTAAAACTTTTCGCAATAGGCAACTTTGCCAACCACTGTACTTCATTTTTATCAGCCTTTACCCCTTCTATATCATTCATCATCTAACAGCTCAGAGTGGATGAAGTTGTACTAATATTATGTCTGCCATTAAAATGGCATCAAAGAACTTTTCTAGTAGCACACATCTGTTCTGTGAAACTGATGGGAATAAATTACCAGATAACAATAATTGGGTTACAGCAGCAGCATCTGCTCACAGTTGCTCTTTGATACAGAACAGCTCTTAAGTGTGAGTGGAGGTAGAGGTGGCAAATTCACAACAGGGTTGAAGGGTTGGAATAGGGTTGGAATAGTAGCTTATTGCAAACAGAATGAGTGAGCAGTGTGATATGGCTGCAAAAAAAAAAAAAGCAATTTTAGGCTGCAGCAATAGAAGCATAATATCCAAATGACATTCCACTATTTGTTATTGGCTAGATTCTAACTCAATATTGTGTCCACATCTGAGCACCACAGAAGGATTTAGACAATCTGGAATAGATTAAGAGATGGGCAATGACTGGGTCTGAAAACCAGGTTCCATGAAAAGAAATTGAAGGAATTGGAAATGTTTCGTCATTATAGATTAAACACTCCTCAGGTTTCTGATAGGATATCACACAGAAGAATGTCAGACCTGTTTTTGATTTTCCGAAAGGGAGATGAGGAATAATAGATTTAAACTATTACAAGGTAGGTTATGATGGAACATTTGAAAAAAGCTTCCTTGAATTAAGAGCAATCTGACAATGGAATTACCCAGACAACTGGCAGGCATCTGTTCATCGGATGTGTTCAAAGCAGAAGCCATTAGCCACCAGTTAAGGCACTCCTTAATTTGTGTTCTTACACTGAGCAGAAGACCAAACCCCATGACTGCATACCCTTTTTCAGCTTCCTGATTCTAGGACTCAAGAAGATGAGGCCTCAGCAATAAGAACAAGCATCCAGTGTGTAATGCTTGTTGCATACTCTTTATTTCCCTAAAGCTTTAGCACTTTAGAAACTGGAACAGTTCTGATCTAGCTTGTACAGTATTTAGAATTCACACTTTTTCCCTCTCTCATCAGCTAGGCCTCATTATCAGCCTTGAAAGATTCCGGTAAGCTGTGGGTTAACTACTTATTTTCCGCTTAAATTTTTATAATAAAATCATACTTTGCATTTTCCCATATCCAAAGCATGTTTTTCTTTCCTGTATAGCTCTAAAATAGAGGCTTGATAGAGCTTCTCTTTGCAGACTTCCCAGCATGTTTTCAAGATTTTCATCCTTCATCAAGTTTTGTGCTGAGTTGCTGGGCAGGTGCATCTTTCACTGGGTTGAGGACAGTGCCTGGTTTTCTGGGGCAGTCAAATACTGCACTCCAAGAGTGGGCCCAAACTTGGGATTGTGGCTTTTACAGGGTAAAACAGACGCTTTATACATCTACAGTGCTTCATTCTGCCTCTTTAAAAAATACTGTATGTTTATATGTACTGTAAACCAACTTGGTATTCATATATGCTGAAAGAGAGGCCAACGACAGGCCTATAAATATAATAAAAAGGGCAGCCCAGGAGCTAACATAACAGAGGCAAGTCAGTAGCTAAACAAATGCTCTGTGTGCAAACAAACCCCAAAGCACCTTGCACTGAATGGATCAGGCCCCAGTACACGTAACCCCGGAGAGCCAGGCTGCTGTTCAGGAGCCAATACTGAACTGCACAGACAAATACTCTTGTTAATAAAGCCCGTTTAATGAAAAACTCATACGGAATTTACCAAGGAAGAGACAGAGAAAAAAAGAGCATTGGTTAAAAACAAGGAGCTTTTTAAAAAATACCCCCAACGTGAAAACTGCCCTGCTCCTTAAAATACTCCAGTCTTGGGCTGCAACCTACACTCACCTGGCAGGGACTGACTCCCGTTCAATTTAAGCGGGCGCACTTCCAAGCCGAGGTAGAAATGCGTGGCAACTGCCCTACTCAGGGAGGACTCGTATGGAGTCACCGTTCGCCCGTAAGCAAATTCCTCCGTGGTTCTTCCTTCTGCCTCCCCGCCCCCGCGGCTTTCCCTACGCTGCCGGCAGCTCCGACGCGAGGCGACGCCCGCTGCCCAGAGCGAGGTGGGGGGGGCCGCCGCAGCAAGCCCTCCGGGCTGCACCGCACTGGCTGCGAG